AAAGTTCCAACCACTCCCAACTGGGGATATTCATATCTACATAGCTAACCCTAAGCTGACATTACCATACATTACCATAGAGTCGACAGAGCTCGACATCCAATATATTCGCATTCCAGCAAAAAATTAGACATCCAAGTCGTGCGATCTTTTGCTCCGCCCCAATTAACCTCCGTACATAGAATATCGCCCCTCAGCTAGCACACACAGTCCCGACTAGGGTCTAGAGAGCCATAAAGGCAGCGAGCAGGCCCAACAATCCAACGCCCGTGGTGCCAACGCGCAGGACCTCAGCAGCGTTCGTCGACGAAGCAGACGCGCCAGTCGCAGTTCCAGACGAGGTGCCGGTGCCAGAGGAGCCAGCGGTGCCAGAAGCAGCAGAGCCAGTGCCAGTCGCGGTAGCGGAAGCAGAGCCCGAGGCGCCGGAGCCGGAGCCGGAGCCGCCGGTGGTCTGGGGCGTGCCGACGGAGCTGGTGTAGTAGTACTTGCCGATGCAGCCCTGGACGCAGTTGGCGTAGTTGAGGTTGTCGGTCGCGGTGCCGTTGCCCTGGGGGCAGTCGGCGACGCACTCGTTGGTCGCGTTGACCTGAGAGTTGTTGGGGTTGGGGACCTATTGCGAAAAGGCTCGTGTTAGTGATATGTCTCTTCAGATACGCGGCTTAGTAGCCTTCGAGGGCTTCAACATACAGCAATGCAGTGAGCCGTGCAGTCTACGTCGCCATCATCGCACTTGTTGAGGCAGGCAATGATGGAGGCCTGGACGGGGTCGGTGGTGGCGCTCGGGCTCGAGGAGACAGTGGTGGACTGGGCGCTTGCGAAGGCCGCGAAGACGCCGGCGAAGAGGACAGCAGTGAAGCGCATCTTGGCTGGATTATTAAAGTAGGTAGGGTATTACTGTATTACACGAAGTAGACTGTAAAGAGACAGGGTCGTCTGAACGAGAGTGATGAACCGAATTAGCCGTGGAAGCAACGAGCGTGGGGTGACGTCGAGAAAGCTGGAGTAGCAACACAAGACAGCAGCAATGAGACAGAAAACACGGTCAAGAGAAGACGAAGCGCGGACACGGGAGAGCTGCCAGCTTTAAGAGAGGATTGCCATGCACACACAGCACGGACAGTACGGGCCAAAGGGGATGCTAGCCGAGCATAGCCAAGGGCATTAGAAGCCCCAGTCCAGGAAGGCTACACTACGCAGTACATCGTCAGGTTTCCTCCGCTGAGGGTCCATTTCAGACTCTTTTCACTTTTCTTTCCTTGCTTTTCCCAGCTGCCGCGTCCATGCGGACCAGCTTACCAGGGCATTTTGCTGGGATGATGGCCCAGTGAATGTCTTGGTGTGCCGGGTTTCACGTCAGGGGTGGCACCGCCCGCTAATTCCCTTTAAATTGCAGCGCGCTGAGCCTGGACGAGAATGCCCGATTTGGCTCGATCGCTGGACCTGGGCCAATCAGGCGCTCAGTGGGCGAGGCCCATCTCGTGTTCGATTTTCTCCGCATTACGCTAGGTAAGACCTTGACAGGATACCCAGCAGCAATCATGAAATCTTTTCAGACACCTCACCAGTACCGAATGTTGGCCCACTTGGGCATCAAAGAGGGATACCAGATGCTCAAGGCTGTTTTGGCGAGAAAGCCCATTGATGCTTCGACCTGGCTCTGTCCAAACTGTTCGTGCCTCCAAAGACTGGGAGAGGAATGTATAGGAGAGTCGTGGTCTAATATTAGGATTTCCAGGGTCGCGACCACCCCAAGCTAACGGGCAGGGGTCTCCGCTTACCGGCACCCAAGCGCTAAAGCGGCCGAGACATCAACGCTCCGTCGTTTATGAGTGGTCTGTCTCTGGCATGACGATCAAAAGCCACCCACCAAGCGGGACTGTGTTTTGACACCTTTCTTCCCCTTCTCCTTCTTCTTCTCTTCTGTACATATAAGTGTTCATCAGCCTTGTTCGCAGCATAAAAGCCAAAGTTACCATGACCGGTGGCGTCGACCGAACATGGAGAGCTTCCTCTTTAGAACTAAATGCCATTGTAAATTTCTCCGATGGGGACACCCTTCTGGACATTTCTAGGCGGCTAGCCGCGCCGCCAACGTTGCCCCTCTGGCGTGCTGTCGTACACCCCCCTCCAGAGGCAAAATGGTGGAGATGCTGCAGCAATACGAGTTGAGCTTGTCAAGAAAACTTGTTCTTCGTTACGTGTCCACGATCACACAGCGACGGGCAGAAGTGGCAAAATGTCCAATCCACTGTCGGCGTATCTTTAGCCTGTCCAGCGCAAACGCACAGTTCCCGAATACTTCTTTTCACCGTGGATGCTGTGCCGTAGCGCGATTGTGCGGCACTCGATTTAAGTGCTGACAGCATAGGCCAAGCTTTCGCTCCTTCAGGTCTTCACCGGCGTCGATGTACATGAAGAAGGCCATGATATTTCATAAATTTTAGATAATTTCCTTTAGTTTCACTGTTATTTCTACGCATAACGTGTCTGACGGCTTTCACCAGGCCACAGGGCCATGTCTGTTCGAGAACGTGCCCGTCTCACCACCCGGGCCCAAGGTTGCAAGTCTGCAAGCGTTGAGAGCGCCGTTCTCGGGAGTGTCAAAGCCCTTGAAACCATTCAAATTCGTGCCACAGTATCCCGGGTCATGGATGTTGATCTTCCAAGTCGGATCGTCTTCGAAGTCAACTATGTAGGAAGCAGCGAGCATGTTGAACGCCGCCTTGCTGCTTCTGTAGATCCGCCAATCCACCTTGTGATATTGATCGTTCCGGTTCAGCTTGTCACCCATGCTGGCAAGGGAGGTACTGACGAAGACGATTCGCTTGCAGGGCACCGTTGATTTCCGTAGTAAGGGTATGAAGGCATCCGTGACTTTGTTGGTGCTGATGACATTCGTCTCCATGTCCTGACGCCAGGCCTCGCGAGTTGGGGTGTCACCCTCAGTCGAGATACCAGCGTTGTTGATGAGGACGTCCAGCCGTCCATGTATCTCATCAACGGCCGCGGCCCCCTGTGCAATGGCCTCGTCCGAGGTAATATCCATGACAAGTGGCTCCACGGAGCAGCCCAGGCTTTGAAGATTTTTGACGGCCTCCTCAATTGCCTCCTTTCTTCGTCCCGCCATGATGATATGATAATTGGCATGATCCTTGCCTAACTTCTTCGCAATCTCGAAGCCTATGCCCTGGTTGGCACCAGTTATCAAGACGATAGTCGATTTTTCTGTGGTAGCGGCCATCGTTGGTTCGATATGTGATCAACTTTCGTGTAAAGGAGGAGAAGTGATGGGGAAATAAGCTTGGGCTGGTGCCATCTCTCCTGCATTTCTCCTGAGACGTCCTCTCCTTTATAGCGCTAATGTACTGGTCATAAAGACTCGATACGCCCGCAAACTCCGTCAGTTCTCAGCCCGGTAGCTGGAGACAACGGAGATGAAGAGGCATCGTGAACTCTCCAGATATGGTAGGCAACGATGCCCGAATCTGATTGGCCAGACATTAATTCCCCAATTGGGAAAGGTCGGGTCCGCTTGCCTGTGTCATGACTTGAACTCGCGAAATTCGAGTCAAAAAGAGCACGTCGAGACAACATCATGACAATTCAAGGTTTGTCTCTATGCTTGAGTTGAAAATAGCGTGAATGGCGTCGGGGTTCGTGCGTTAGGACCTCATACTAATTCCGCATGGCCGGCGTCTACAAGAGGCTTCGCGTCCGACCATCGCAGAATCAAAATATCGCCGTTCTGCCCGTCTACTCCTCCGTCTGCGTCTGTGCCGCGGCCCTCGACCAGCGAGTCTCTTATCAGTCGTATGAACACGGCGGAGTCGAGGTCCGGGGCGTCGATCATGCTGATGTTGCCCGCCGTGTCGTTGAGGTTCTGCAGATTTGGCGGGAAAGACGATAGGAATGACGAGAGGTAATGGTTATGCAGCATCGCCTGATGCCTCGTAGCGTACGCCAGCTCGGTTTCCGATAGTCGCGACCGCAGCAGAGGTGATGAGAGGTAGTGTAGCGTGTGCTTGTCGATCTGTATCCACACCAGTCAGTCAAGCTGTGCCCCGTGGACGTTTGGTCTCCAACTGAGAGGCTTCTTCTCGAACCTTGGCAATTCTCGCGCGCAGGTAGCTCCGCACCAGGTACTTGTATCTCTCCAGCTCGGTCTGGATCACAATCAAGGCGAAGTTTGTCTTGGGGTCCATGTCACCCGTCATCTCCTCGACCTTCTCGATCTGCGTCTTTATGCGCTCGTTGATGCGCTCGAACAAGCCGTCCACAGGCCACCTTGAGAGGAAGTACAATTAGCAGCTATCCCTAGTATTATCGCAGGATTCGTCTCCAAAGAAGATGTGTGCTTACTCTAGAAGCTCAGGGGCAGATCTCTCCGCAACCCATGCACGCGTCAGCGCCTGCAAGTCGCGTGTTTCGGAGGGGATTGTGTGGGTGGTAGGGTCGACCTCCCTCAGGATATCGTCGATATCCATATTGATACCTCAATGGCCTTTCCTTCTGGCCAGATGCGCTATCAAGGTCACTGTCTCTCCCCTATGTTGCAAAGTAAGCTTTGGGAAGGATGCAAAACTGCCAGACGCGTTAATAACCCCGCCAATTTGGTGTTTTCCACATAGCGGGGCACATTTGCTCGGCGCGGCAGCACCCGCGGTGCAACGTCACTGGTCCGGTCAACCAGCTCTAGGTATAAGAACCTAGGTATTGATGGCTCTTTAAACATACTACAACCAGCTATCCCTATACTATCAAAACTATTAAATCCTTGCCGGTCGATCTATGTTCTACTCGTCCACCAGGGAAATAATTGTGACTTCAGCAAGGGCCCTTCTCGGTCAAGATTACTGCCTTTATAGAATCTAGTAGATCTTGAGAGTTACATAGAATCTTCGTAGCCTTAACAAGTGCAATGACCGTCGTCATTAGTACGGATTTAATGTTTATTACCCTGGCGGAGGAGTACCATCACTGATAGCTAGGTGATTACCCTTCCTGAGGAGATTAGTATAGGCTCTTTAGCCTAGGTCCACCGAATGAATATTCTCGAGATCATCCTTCTCTGCCAAAGAAAGGTTGAATCTTTTCCAGGCTTTAGAGACACTACTGGCTTGGGGTGAGGTGTCCAATTTGTTTAAATCTCGCTCAAATCTGGGGACATCCTCGAAACACCTCACTGTTCTTTCTTTCAATTTTAAGAAGAGCTCGGGTCGCGATGAGAGTTGCTCCAGAGCGGTCTCTAAGTCGTGTATAGCACCGGCAATATCTCGTAGCCTCTGTGGTCCATCTCGAATTGCTGAGATAATATGACATTTATCCACTTGGCCAATTCTAATGTCTTTTTCTTCGTGATAAACTGTCAGAGGCCTGGACAAGGACATTGGTACTTCAACCCTGAATGTAAAAGCTAGTTGCCAAATATCTGTCTTGCGGTCAACTTGGAATGAAGTGGCGAGGGAGATTTAGGAAGGCAACAGATAGGATCGTCTCGCGAGAAGAGCATCGTATTAATGGTACTATTTATATCATGTGTCACTTGATCTGGTTGACCAGGTATCTCGCCATCTCAACCTGTCAAATCAGGTCATGTTATTTTTGATGTGTTTGGGTCAATAAGGACAGTATGGCTCTGACCAGGACTGTACTGAATTGAAATAGTCTTCTTGCTCGGACAGTAGACGAAGACATAAGACTATCCCTGTTGGTGCTTCCTTGAGTACAAGTGATCAATACCCATCAACCCTGTCTTTTGTCCATACTAGAAGATAGATACCAAATGTAGTCTTCTTATGTGCTTTATAGTCTGGATAGCTCTATGAGTGACTGGTGGTAATAATTGTAAACTGAATTTGAGACGGTTTAGAGGTTTGTCTGTTGCCTGCTCGATCTTTGCCTGCCTTATCGAGAAATTGATTTGCAGTGTTGGTATCCGCCCGTTTCATGTCACCACTACTCTGTAGGAAATCGGGAGGCGAAGCAATAGTTTACATGTATACCTATAGCTCAGGGTTGAATGACTAGTTGGCCCCTTTTCTTCCCACCTTACATAGTGATCTTTAATTATCAATACTTTACAGGTGGGTGGGTTGCTCCGCTCTTGGTGGTGGAAAGGGTTCTGTGCGTCGGCGTTGCTATTATCAGGCAACGCCGCCGCCTAGCACATTTGACGTGATCTGCGTCATCGCCGAATTGACACCAACGTGCTTAGAGGTGTAGAAGCAAAGATAGTACAGGAAGAGCATGCACTTGCTTCCTTCGGGCTTTCCAAAATAGCAGAAGATTTCTCAAGGTCTAGAGGGTAATTTCCTTGAATGATCGGCAAGACAGAGTTTCTTAGTGGTTAAATCTCGCATTGTGGGGGAGATGTTAGCAATCCTATGGTCGGTACGGCTATTTCCCTCTTATCGATGCGTCGTGATTAAAGGTCTCGATGACGAAAGTGAATAGCATAAAGAAGTTTCCAGACCAATACTCATATTGAAGACTTTGTATCAATTCATATATGGTTCTTGAAACAACTGTATTGGTTACTCAGTAGAAACCCAAAACGAATCACCGGTTATTAAACATCTACCGGTATCACTCTGGTCAATCCGTCCGATATTTGGAAAAACCATCACACATTTTTGCAGCATTTGGCGAATCATTTGGTTCATGACGTACCTACGCCTTGGGATCGGTCAATAGAGACAAATCTGGTTTTGACAATGGGCATCGCACCTTCCTCCTCGTTATTCGGAAGCCGCCCAGACACTCCACTCACGACTTTATTCATCGAATGGGTAGTGCTAGGACCTCCAATCATAGTCTTGTTCTACATCATTTTGAATGAGATTATACGCTATCAGTCTCGTATTGCACACTTGCCAGGCCCGCGTGGTTATCCTCTCCTCGGAAGTCTTCCATCTCTTCATGGAAAGCATGGCGCACAGGAGTATAGAAAATGGGCTGCTGAGTATGGTGATGTATTCCAATTACAGCTGGGCAATAAGACGGCAGTGGTAGTAAATAGCGTCTCTGCGGCGAGAGAGCTCTTTGGTCAGAGGGAGGCAACTAATGGCAGGCCAATTTTTTATGTCCTACATAAGAAAGTCCAGAGAGGAGGGCCAGTGACAAGTATTGGAACAAGCCTTTGGGACGACAGCTGTAAGAGACGGAGGAAGCTAGCAGCGGGTGCTTTAAATAAAGCTAATGTTGTCTCTTACTTTCCCGTCAGTTGACTCCCTTTGTGGCTCTGGGACTGGAACATGCTGCTAACAGTGATAGATTATAAACCTGGAATCACGCGCCTTTCTCCTGGACATCTTAAGGTCTGGTAACGATGGTGAAATGCCGATAGACGTGCATGATATCTCTAAGAAGTTCGGGATGAATTTGAGTTTGACTCTGAGCTATGGGACCCGGTATTTGATCCCCTGCTATTAGCGGAACGTCTGAATACACCGTTTTCTGCATTCGATACTGCCAAAAGCTAATCAACTATATATAGCATTGATGACGTTCGAGACTTGCATCGAGACATGCTTCTTTCGGAGATCATTTATATCGAGGAACAGATTTCGAAGCTAAGTACAGTTTCTAGTAATTATATGAATTATATCCCTCTCATTCGGCCAATCTATACAGTAGGGGGTTGGCTTGGCCTTCTGAACAGCCGCGAAATGGCAGATATCGGCAGGAGAAGGTACTCATATCATAATCTGCTACAAAAAAAGTTGAAGCAAGAGATAAGTCTTGGTATAGATAACCCATGGTATTCTATACCCGCTTCGCTCACCGGAAGGCTGCTAATCTAATTTATCTATAAAGTATCCAAGGAAACGTTATCAAAGATCCAGAGAGCAAAGGGCTCACAGAAGGAGAGATCCTCAGTGTGAGCCTGAGCATGATGGCTGGTCAGGACACTACGAAGCGCTCGCTTATGTGGGCCATAGTTCTCCTAGCATACCGCCAGGATATCCAAGAAAAGGCATACCAGTCAATTATAGATACTGACGCCACCCTTATTGAGTCTCCCGACATAGCCCACTCCAAGGTAGCCTATATTGAGGCTTTGACCAAGGAGGTCGGCCGATACTTTGTCGCGCATCGACTTGCACTACCAAAGGCAGCCCACTTAGATGTGTCATGGAGGGGAGCAACCATACCGCCGAATACTTGGATGTTTTTGAACTCATGGGTTTGCAACAGAGGTTTGTGCCGTTCTCAATAGCTTTTGATTATGAAAGAGGCGAAAGACGGGACACCATGTTTGCGAAATTCGGTCCAGAAGGAGTATCGGCCTATGATGGACAGATGCTGACTATATCTCATTCAGATCCAAACGTCTTCCCGAATCCCAATGTTTTCGCTCCCGAGCGCTGGCTTGACGACGAGAACGCAGCTCATCGGCACCAATTCGTATTCGGTATAGGTGGGCGTATGTGTGTAGCTAGCCATCTAGCAACAAAGGCGCTATATAGCGTTCTGTTACACTTGATTGCACACTTCCAAGTTATCCCCGTTGAAGAAAAGCCAACCCTTGAGGCTATCGATCCCCTCAGAGGTCTACTAGCTCTAGAGAAGCCCCAGGCTCAACCGAAAATCCGGACTGTTCGATTCGTGCCACGAAGTGTAGTGGCTACGAAAGCGATGATATCACAAGTATCTTAGCATTAGGCGCACTATGTATGATTTAAGTTTCAACAAGTGAGATTTACGACGCATAGGACAACATAAATGTTGTTGTTTAAAAACACACGGCGGAAACAATGGTCTTCAGGTCTGTCAGGGGATGATGGAGCAACATTCTACAAGTACAGTCGCGGTGTCAAGTTATTGCCTCTAGATTTAGTTTATCGTTGAAAAAAAGCGAATTACAAGTCCGCTACTATCTCGTTCACCACTTTGAGATTTGAGTAGGAAATCTGGATAAAATTGTTGCCTGTACGTCTATATGCCGCGCTTAGACGAGCTTCCCTGGATCCAATTAAGATCTCCGCTACAAAAAAGGTTGTAACTTCATTGAGTCCTCAAATAAAAGAATTAGGCAATGAGTATAGGCTTCGCTGTGACCATATTCTGAATTTCACCGATGTAGGGCCTGAACTTTTCAACGCGGCTCAAGACCCAGCAAGTTTCAATGGGACTTAAGCCTCTATCTTGGATCTGCAGCTGCTGGTACCACCCTTGTACAAGTTGGTAATTGGTCCAAGATCAATTGAGCCCTTTTCACCTCCCCCTGTCCGGCACCTTCGTCAGTGAATACATGTTGTATGAATTCAGTCAAACTATGCAACTCAAAGGTCTTCAGTTGGGTATGAACACCAATTTTGAGGAAGGCCTCTGCGATGTTCAAGAACATGGTCCTATCATTTGCCCCAAATACTCTATCATGCTTTTCTCTTAAACCCAAAATCTCGTCGTGCAGAGTGAGGATGTCATCTATCCACAACGACCAAAAGTAATCGTTCTGGCTGTCGGATTTAACTAGTTCAGC